AGTCCTTGCCGTAGGCCTACCGCCGAGCATAACCCGAGACTGCAGTGACTGTCTAGAATCCTACACTCGTTAAGGACTTATAAAAACATTCTGGCAGATCCTGCCATTTCGCTGATTTCATTTGTTATCTTATTTTGTTTTATTTATTTTTGGGTTGAATATGAAAAGTTTGTAGTTTGTTTTTGCTGATTAAAGTAACAAAGCACAAGAAAATATCCAAGGAAAGATGGCATGAATGCGAAAAGCTACCTCTGTTTCTTGCTTTATGCCAAGAACACATAATCAGATAAAAAAGTTAATTACAGTGACTAAAAAAAGGATGTATTACTCATTTCTGCCAGCAGGGCGTTGCACAAACCTATACTAAACCTTTAAGTTCCTCCACTGGCTGCCTACCCGTTAAACTCCTTTGGTTTTACATATACATATACTCAGATTATGACCACCTACAGTCTGCAATATGGCCTTCCCTGGGGACCTCGACTCCCAGCTTGGGAACTACTACACTACGCTGTTGGACTGACAAAATGGCATCCGACGACATATGGCAACTTTACACAACTTTGGATCTCGAGTGTCGGAAATTATTACTTGTTTAACTTGGATCATATAAAGGTAATATTATTGGAAATGATGCCAAGCACCGAAACTGTATGATCAATCCTTACCATTTACTAGAACATATTCTATTAAATCTTTCATCCATACCGTATTTGACGCAAGCTGATAATAATGACAGCTGAATAAATCTATGAGTCCATTACCATTACCTGTACAGAACCACGAAAAAATGTCTAAAATAATAGACGCGATTTCAGTGGACAACGCAAGCGAGAAAAATCGGGAGACGATTTTTAAAGAACTACTAATGGCGGCTCTATTAAAGCCAATTAGAACAAGTCAAGAAATCGGTTTATTTAGACAACGACGGGAGAATAGCGGCCCCAAGCCCCATCAGCAGCGAGGGGAGAATCCCGCCGATCCGGATTTCCTGCAGCCTGGAATGTCTGGAACTGGTGCTCGGGGCAAGAAATTATGCAAATCCGTACTACTGTAGGTCTTGTTACTTATCCAAACTATCCTTGCACAACACTATGGTGAAGATTTTGCAGACCAGGCAGGGAGTGAGAAGCCACAGCGCCGAAGGGTGTTAAGGAGGCGAATCACTGTATGATCATGTGAGCGCTTCGCATAGAAGGTGAAGATTTTGCGGACCAGGGAGGGATGGTGCGCCAGTCTCCCTGCAGAGTTTATGGTTGTAAAACGCCATTAATGCCGTGAATGTGCTCTACTATAGCTAAATCATTGACTAATTTACCGCGATCTTTCGCTTTCACCGTGCATAACACCTGATCAACCTCCCCACATCAGTGTGTGTTGTCTCAGTCAGATGTAAGAATTCTTGTCAGGAATCTTTTGGCAAGTTTAGATTTCGATCTTATACGTTAAGAATCGCATTTTAAAAATAATTGTTATCATACATTGTATTACTTCAGATGACAGTAATAACAGTAGAAGCATCCTTTAACAATGCCTTCTATTCAGCCATAGTGTGTGTGTATGAAATATATATATATAGTGTGTGTGTATGAAAACATGAAACATCCGATATTCAATGTCTTCATCCTACAGACCAATTGTCTAAATAGGTACTTGGTTGATGAAACTTCAATAAAGAATACCGTATTTTGATAAATTCAGAAGGAAAGATATTGTCCAGCAGATTATTTATAGTTTAGATATATGATATTCAGGTCAATGATATTTACACAGAAACATGGAGTACTGCTCCTTAAAAGAATATTCGTATTGCAGTGCCCAAGAAAAGCAATAATAAACATCTACAGTATACAGACTACACGCATTCCAGCCAAGCACGCACGAGCAGCAGAAATAGCCGTATTTTGGATCACTTCCAGACAAGAAAATGTGCCACAAATTTTCCTACTTCGCGTCTTTCCCTTGGGTGACTTCGGGAAGTTCCACGTCGTTTCCTTCGCAGATAGGCAAGATGTTTTAGGTGTGCTTCCAAGTGACTTTCAACGCTGGACGACAAATTACTTGAAAGTTTTTATTTGACGGCCATTTTCATTTACTTTTATCTCATTCATTCAATTCATTCGCGTTCGTATTTTCAGAAAATGAGTAAGAAAGAGTTGTTGACGCCGCTGCTTGTCTCCCCTTCAAGCAGCCAAATATGGAGCCCTGTACATGGGCGAGGCCGGGGAGAGGTACGTGGCCCACTGGATGGCAAGCGTATACGCCTTACGCTGGGCCTTCAGTCAGTCGTTGCGGGGTTGTTGTCCCAAGGGCTGGTCTGCGTAAAGATCATACTCCGTCGCAGTCAGTAGCCAGTTTAGAGGATTCTTACGGTTGTGGACAGACACTCACACACATACACATGCATATATGTATATATATATACATATATATATATATATATATATATATATATATATATATATATATATATATATATATATATATATATATACACACA